TAACTGCTTTTTAAAACCATCCTCTACTTCTCCTGGCTATTCTACTATTCCCACATTCAGCAGCAGCTCCGTTTTTCCAAACCTCAAGCAGGTTACTTCCTCTTTAAAATCAAGTCTACCTCCCTTCCCCTTCCAACAAAAATTTCAGTCCCTTTGTCACCCTCCTACCAGCTGCCTGTTTTCATACCACCCTGTCCCATCACTTACCCTCCCCTCCAACATCCTCTTCCCTATTCCTAAAACCCTCATTGTAAAGATCTTCCTGCCAGAGGCCAAACTACACTGGCCACAGGTTCCCAAATAAGTAAAGCTGCTGCTTCACATGTGCAGAGTACTGGAAGAAAGGATTCCTTTGCCTGCAGCACAAGCTTCAGTACATATTGCTGCCTCCCTAAAAATTTCTTCTGCGACTGGGCTTTTGGTGCTGGGAAGATCACAAGAAATTAGATCTTGTACCCACAGAGGACCAACATATTTCTTGAATTGGAGGATATAGAGCAATGTAGTTTCTTCTGTGACTCAGCACTGCACAATGTGGTGCAGGGAAGTTTTAGCTGATAGTTTACTAAATAATTGCTTAGTAGGAATGTGGAAGTTCTCTTTGTGAAAAGAACCTTCCTTAACAGTGGGGTACAAGGGAGACAAAAAGGTACATTTTTTTCATATGCAGACTACAAAGCAACTATACCTTTTGAGCTTCTTTCTTCATTGAGCTCCATTCAGGATTTAAGGCAACACAATAAAGGAACTCCTTCAATGCTTCCTCAGTCCTCCCCAATCCATAAAGAGCTTTTGCTTTCACATAATGACCCTGTTCATGCGAAGAATTTGTCCTAAGTTTCATATTTTTCAAAGAAGCAAATTGCAACAAGAAACCAACAAACAATGTTATGATTTCCTGAAGGCTCATCTCATTTGGCAGATAAAGAGAAGCCAGAATTGTAGATGAAGGTTTTATGTAAAGTTTCCCTTATCTACTCAATCTGCACTGCCTGTTGTCAAAAAACAGACAAACACTACCTGTTTCAAAGCTACCTGGTTTAACTGTCACAATTTCTCTTCCCTTATTCTAGTAGTGTCTTTCTTCTTTGTTTCACCAACCCCAAAAAAGTTCTTTAAACAAATGGAAACACAGCATCTTTCAGGTTCTCTTGATTTTCCTCTTGCTTTCATTCCCTCAAAAAACATTATTCAGCTAATACAAGAGGGCTGGGGGCATCAGCCTCTTTGCCCATCAACACTACTCCACTTTTTGGACACAGGATAAGTTTAGAGAATGGGGTATCCTAGATCTCCCATGGGGCCCAAGTAACAAGAGACTGAATTATTTCACATACCAACACGATTTTAGCAGCAGTGAAACTGCATGGAAAAAGTAGTGGGGTGGGGTAGATTGAAGGAGCAGAAGATTCCAGATATAGGACATTCTCACTTCAGCTGGGAGTCTTGCCAGGACAGAGTTGGTTTGTCACTTATTTTGGTTGGCTGAATGAGAGACCAGCATATCATAATTTTAGGAAAATTAATCTATGCTTACCTGAAATTTCCTTTCTTCAGGTACTAATGTCCATGGGCCTGTTATAACAACTACTTCAATCAGCTTGCAGTTTGGGGGCAGAACCAGACTCATCAGTCACTGGCAGCTAGGGGCTATTTCCATCTTCTGAAAAGTTCCCATCAGCTAAGAATTTCCCACAGCCAGAACAATTCAAATCTCCTTTCATAAACTGCAAATTGTTTTCCCTTACAGCATAGTTCACACAATCTCCTATGGCAAATCATGCTGAATTCTAACCTGATAATGCAAATCCTCAGATAGCAATTTTCACCAGTGTTCATCATCAACGCTAGATTTGTAACCTTATTACTTAAAGATAGGAGGCTTTAAAATGAGTGTAGAATGATTGTATTTATCTTCATGCTAAGGTGTACAGATGTTACCATGGAATTTCCACAGCTCTCCCTCAAGGAGAGGAGCGGATCATTCTTTAAATGTAGACATCTAAAACACAGCATATATTGTATATAATACATTGTATATAATAGTACTTAATGGAAGATTGAGTAAACAAGGCTCCTTGAGATCCTTTCAAGGGTAATGCTGGTTGTCACACAATGTTAGCACTGTTAAGTGTGCAAACATGCATCACAAAATGAAAACAGAGATTTAAAATAGAAATCCAGCATTAAAACATTTTGACCTATCAGTTTTCCTGCGTTTTCTGCAATAAAAAAATTGCTTTATTATTTTCCGTAGTCCAAAAATGAGTAAAAACTAAGAGCTGGTATTTCCCAAGGGGTGCCTTGAGCCCAAAGAGGTTGAGTACCACTATACTAAGGTGTGGAGAAGACCTCTGCCAAAAGAAAGAAAAAAGGACATTAGCTAAGACTAGAAAACCCAAGACATGGAATTGGGTGTTCTAAAAAGCTATCTAGTATAACTCAACGCTATCTGGATATCACTAGAAAATTTCCTATGTGCAAATAGTCATCTAAACTGGAGTGTGTAGACACTGGAAAGAGTACTCTAACGCTAAGATGTAGAACTATTCAGGTAGGAGTTCAATCTAGGTAGTAAAGCAAGAAGCAGAATAAGGCTCTAAAATGTTGTCCTTATTAAGGCACCAATATTTTGGGAAAACTATTAATATTGTGATTTTCAAGAGAGGCCCCAAACATGCCAAGAAAAATATACTAACATGACCACACCTTTTTTATGCACACATTCATACGCCCATAGCAAAACTGTTCCAGAAAACTCAACGCTGTTTATTTTACTAGTTTGATGTGGTAGTCAAGATTACAGACATTGCAACCAAGGAGAAACAGTTTTGTTAGCTTCTTTTCTGGGGTCCAGAAAAGACACTTTATTCAGGTATTCAATTTAAACTCTTCTAGTCCTGGCTGGAGGACTAGTTTTGTGAGATGGTTCATCAGAAGATCTAATATTAGACAAATATCAGGCCTGACAGCCATATCCTCTCCAAGTAGGTACGAATAGTATCTCTGCTGCTCTCAGCCTGGAACTGTCTTGGGGAACAATGTGCATAAGATAGGAAGACCTAACAAAGATTTTGCCAAAATTTGGAGAACAGGTTGTGGCACAGTCTCACACACAAATGCTGCAAGTATTATTTGGCATTTCCTATGCACTGTTCAACAAATGAGATTTCTGGATATAGACGTTGGTCTGGCAAATCCAACTTCTGTCATGCAAGTCAAGGTTCCTCTCTCTCAGTGTTCACTGAACATAGAAGGAGGAACCTTTTCCATAAATCAGGACAAGAGCATCTCTCTCTCTTTAAGATGTGGTTTTTTTGCATCATAAAAATCCATTCCAGATAAGCTGACTCTGCCAACCAGAAAAAAATCTCTTCTCCATAGGAAGATTGCTCAGACACTTAAGTAAATCATTACGTTATAGCTGGTGAATGCTGTTCTCTTTCTGATGCATGTTTCCTGAAAGATAGATACCTTTAGAAAAAAGAATTCTATGGTGACCACACACAGGAGCAGAAAATATACAACTCTGCCACTGGATCACACAGATTTCTGTCATTAAAGACAGTGAGATACAAATGGCATATCTAGGATCACTTTATAACCATCTTATGAACTCTGCAGCGATGAAATACACACGATATAGCAGCCGGCTCCAAAAAGAATTGGATTTTTAGTTTGTAACACTATGGAAAACAAGTGGTGTGAATCTTCATTTTCTGTTAACATTCTTCCAAGATGAGACTACAGGAAACAGTATGATCTATTTCCCTAGCACTAGCATCTGCTTGCCCAAAATCCAAGATGCTCTAGGACTCAAGACACTCTATTTATTTAAAACTTTCTCTCTGTATAAAACTGACTAGAAAAAAAAAAAAAAAAATAAAAAAAAAAAAAAAAATAAAAAAAAAAAAAAAAATAAAAAAAAAAAAAAAAATAAAAAAAAAAAAAAAAATAAAAAAAAAAAAAAAAATAAAAAAAAAAAAAAAAATAAAAAAAAAAAAAAAAAAAAAAAAATCGAAAAAGAAATGAATTTCTTACTTCAATGGAGGCAGGACTGTTGTTCTCATGATTTGAAGAGAGGTCCTGGAAGGATATGCAAAATTAAGTGGTAGTGACTAAAATTTAGTCTACTAAAGAAACGACTATCCATCTTCAAAATTCAAGAGTTTTTTGAGGACAGCAAAATGGGAATGTCCTGAAAGCAAGACTCAACTAGGAACTTCTCTCTCAGGCTACAAACAGGACAGGCAGTGGACTGCAATGATCCATTGTACTGTGAATTAATTCTCCTGCCCTCTATGTGTGACCTTTCCATGGGCTGCCAAACTTGAAATGTCAGAAAGCTTTCCCTGAAGTTACTGCACAAATCCTTAGGTTTTCCCACTCTGGGAAATGTCCAGTGACCTCACTTGATCAAATGTGTAAGTACTTACAAAGTAAGAGAAACTGCCATCAACTGGGGGATTTAACTTTAGGTAGAGCTGGCTAGGCACTCAGAAAGCAGCTGAGGCAACACAGGGAGCTACTGCCCCAGCACATATTCACTTATTGCTTTCAAAGAGGTGTTGTACTACTTCCACTGTACTTCAGGCTGCTTCAGGGTGCCATGATATACATCAGTGGAGCACAACCTTTTAGAATGGCAGACTAGGTGCCTGCAACCTGACTGCACTGCAGACTATCACTCCCCTCTGGTAGGGGATAGCAGGAAGGGAAGTAGGGACATTAAAAAAAATATATCTGTTTAACCTTCTCTAAGTATATCATTTAAATGGTTAACTAATAACACAGCAGCTCAGATAAAGCTGCTGCTAGGAGCCACTCCAGGGGCCCTTTGACGGGGTGGAGGAGGTGGTGACAACCCCAGCCAGACAACACAGGCCATGTGAAACCCTGCACTGGGAGGGAGTGAGCAGGTACCTGTGAACCAGCAGCTAATTGCTTAATTGATAAATCATTAGGCCACCCACTGTTTTCATCTTTAACCTCATATGGATACTATGGGTTACTGCTAGTCAACTGCTGTGGGTACTACAGGTTACTAGTTAATCCCTATGGGTATTAGTCTCCCTCACCACTCACTCCTGCTTGCCCTGTCACCTACCAGTTCCTGCTGGGGCACTGCATGGGCTTCCCTTCCCCCCTGCCCTACCAGACTGTGCCCTGCCCCTCACTGAACAAAACCAATAAGCTAGATAAGCTAACCCGGTATGGTATCACTGCAATTGTCAGTTAAACACTTTTTACATCCCTAGAGGGAAGTGGCTATGTCAGGGGGAAGAGAGGGAGAGAAGAGGAGAATTTACTTCTGGCTGCAGAAAGGGTCAGTGGCACAGTGCAGGACAGGGAAAGGGACATGTAGTGCCAAGTCCCTTGCCACTGTTCCCTTTTGTCGCAGGCCAGATCCAGTCACTTTGGATGCTGATCTGGCCTTAGGTTGAGCACCACTCATCTATATTCCTTTCTAAAGAAATCTTATTTCCACAGAAATAAAACGCAGCTATACGATACATCTAGGAACTAGATGACTGCATCATCAAACGACATTGCTAATATACAAATTTAAAATGAAGTTTGGAATTCTCAGAAGCTCTGCAGCAGGGAAGGCTGGCTGAAATACTGTAGGAGTCAGAGGAAACTTCCACAAGTAGGATATCCCCCGATATCAGTAGCTGAACAGGCCTGGTTCTGCCCC